AATGCTGTGAAAATGTTAATATTAAGATGGAATAGGTGTTAAAACCATGATGTCTTCTCATTTCTGTTCTTAATAAACTAAACAGGAATTATGCCAAACAGTTTGATATTGCTGGTAAGTTCATGCACATGCTGTTAGTATATCAAACATTTCTGGTGAATTTTGGTAGCCATAATAATTTGCAAGTTTGAGAGTCTAAACATCAAAATTCAGCTTGGTAAGAACCATTTTCAAAATCAGCAGGTTCAAATTATGTTAGAAAAAGTTGTTACCTACTTTTAACAAAAATACTTCTCGACCACTTATAAAGGATTGACTCTCAGATTTCCGTCTCGTCTATATAAGAAAATGATATCTAAGGCGGAGTATCCCAAAGTGTGGGCCACATGAAGGACTAGCCTCAAGAAAAAGTGGGGCAGAGCCAGACCATCTGATTGCTTAGAAACTGATTTACTTGTGTTAGTGCAAAATCCTTGTGCAGATACTTACTTGAGTTTAAGAAGGCCTTGTTTTGATTTAGTGTGTCATGTTTTTACTGACAAGCAAAACCAAAATAGGCCACTTTTTATCCAAAGTAAGAGTGTTCACACAAAGGGTTTGCTCAAACTGCATATTTACCAGCCCTTAGTCTCTATTTGTTATGATTGCAAATAAAACCTTCAAACTATGACCAGAGCGTGATCAATACAGACATCTCCTTGAATTTGCAGCAAGTCTGAATCAATAACTCGGAGCTACCTACCCCATTCATCTCAAGAGAGTGCTAATTCAGATGCCAACGATGTTACTTTAACTGACAACTTTAACTATTTCATTGTTGATCAAAGCATGTAAGAAGGGAAAAAAAGTGTCATATCATGAAATGTGCACAATGGACCCTGAGTAACTCAGATGGCAGGGGGAGCATGATTGGTTGCATTTCCAGAAAAGGGGCTCAGATTTCAAAAGTCTGGGAAATACTGATATCAGGAATTTAAAATATTAGTGATTTGGTTATAGTCTAAACATCCTTCCCTAGCAGTTTAAATGTAATCATTACTGAAGTAATTTTTTCTTATTTTTATTTTCAGGTATTTTGGACTCTCTCTCTCACCTTCTCTCCCATTCCCTATGAGACCTACTGACTTATCCTTAATACTTTGCAGAGAATGACCGTCAAGGCCGATTCCCCACTCTGGCACTTTGAGTACAGAAGATAGGGGCTTGCAAGGATTCTAAAAATTAATACTGGCCACTCCAGGCTTGTATTAAACTCCCACGGTTACAGCTTTTCTCTGACCTTGCATGGATAGATGCTGCTACCACCCAAGTGCAAAAACCCCTTTGAGAGCCCAGAAAGGTGCACTTGGGAAATCCTTCCCATAGAGTACCCTCAAGCCCTTTCATATACACCCCCCCTCCACCCTGGGAAGAGCTGAGAAAGAAAACAAAGAAAATCAGCTGTTGCTACCAGCTTATTAAACAACATATGCACACACCTCTTAGAACTCAAAATCCAATCCTGTTCTTAAAAAAGGTAAATTTTATTAAAAACAAAAAGAAAGAAAATACATTGAAAACTCAGGCTATTGCTAGACTAAAAAAAACCCATTTACAAAAATTCAGCATAAAGAATAACCTTCTTGAGGTCCAGCTTAAACGTTATAAGCAAAAGAAAAGCATTTGGAGTTAGCACAGAGGAGTCCACAAGCCATAAAGAAATAAAAATAAATAAACCTAATCGTGCCTTCCTAAAGATTTCCTGATCTACTTACATATCTGGGGGTTTCAAATGAGTAGTTTCTAGGTATGACAAAGCCTTGGCTGGGATGATTTAGTTGGTGTTGGTCCTGCTTTGAGCAGGATGTTGGACTAGATGACCTCCTGAGGTCTCTTCCAATTTTATAGCTAAGTGGTTGGGTGGGTGTCCATAAAAGGGAGCTACCTTCCCTCCCCCCTTCATTTATCACAATGACCACTTTCCACTTCTAGTGTAAAGGCTAATTTTTTCTTGGTGGTGAATTCCCAACTGTGCACTACTTTGAGATATAATGGCCATAATCTTATCAAAAAGACCCTGCTAGACCACAAGGATGTGGCTTTGAAAAAAATCTGTGTGTATATACATACACACACACACACACACACCCATGAGGCAAAATTCAAAATGGGCTACATGCAGAGCCGGGGCACAGGTCAGAGGCTATGCTACATGCACAGACTGCATTGGATATGCTTCTTCCTCATGCCTCTTCTCCCTCCCCATCTATCCTTGACTATCCTCTTCCTGCATTGAGCTCACCCACTGGTCTCATTTGTCTAGTAAATGGCCTGTATTTTTGACTGCCTGGGACTGTTATTACTTATACTCAACTGGGAAAAACGAAGCCATAGGGGATGCTTTCAGCATTCCAAGTGGCTTGGGCCAGGCCCAGTCTATCCCTCCATGAACAAAAGCTGCATTCTTTTCCGTTGGCTGAAAAGAGTTGCAAACTCGTTGCCCACTGGGGGAACAAAAAGCCTTTTCCAGTAACCAGCCCACGCCTCACAATCTGTAGCGGTTTGGAAAAGCACTTCAGTAAAATAGCTTCATTGATGAATATTTTCAAACAAATTAAACATTATTGTGAGCATTCCAGGACTAATTATGGGTTTCCAAGCCCTGGCTAAGATGAAGAACAGCCTTTCTTTGTGGTGTAGCTGCAGCCAAGGCATGAAGCTATGTGTGGACAATAAAAGAAGTAAATATATACATATATACACATAAAACCAAATTTCAACAAAGGCTGAGGTTTAGTTTAAGAGTTGGCCAAAGAGGCATGATAGTTAATTGTTCCTTTTTTTAAAATTCCAAGCTGATTTGCATAAGTGTAAACAATTACAGTTCCATTTAAGTCCCCAGGAGCTGCAGGAGCTCAGAACCTCTGCAAAAAAATCAAACCACTTACTTAGGGGTAATATTTTCAGAAGCACATACCTGACCTAAATCCCATTTTCAAAAGTGATTTAGAGTCAATTTCCAAAGGTATTTAAGAACCCTAAGATGCAAGCAGGCACCTAGTGAGATTTCAAAAGCACCAAATCAGGTTAGATGTCTAATACACATTGATTAATTGAATTCTGGAATTTAGGTCCAGATCCGGGGAGTAAAGCATCTAAATACCTTTGAGGATCTGGGCGTGGGGCCAGATTTACAAAGGCATTTAAGCACCTAAAGAAGTAGACAGGTGCCTAGTGCTACAACAACTTGAGATTTAGGTGTCTAACTCCCACTGTCTTTCTGCATCTTTCTGCACCTAAATACCGTGATAAATCTGGCCCTTAGTGACTTGTCCACATTCATATAGCAAAATAAATTGCATTGCTGGGAAAGATGTAATGTATACTCCTTGTTATGGACTGCATTTCCTGATGCCTATGGTGCTGCGCATTTTAATGGCAATAAAATGACTGTCTCTAGAGCTGTGGTCTTCATGGCATGAACTATAGAACAAGGAGCACTTTAATCACAGAGCGAGTGAAGCAGCAATGCTAGAGCGTGCCCAAAAGGAACCGCTGAACTCTAAGCTGTATACATATTTTGGCTTTATTAAGGGTTTTACCTTATTTTAGGAGTCTCTTATCCAGACTGTACACTGGTTATGATTTTATAATTGTTACCCTTAATTTGCTTGGATTTTCATAATAAAACATCACTTCCTCTATGACACATTAGCCCTTAGGTTATTATTAGTGCTACCCTGACAGAGCATAGTTCCATCTAGATACTTCTGTGGTTCCATTACTGTATTATCTGGAAAAAGAAAAGGAGTACTTGTGGCACCTTAGAGACTAACAAATTTGTTAGTCTCTAAGGTGCCACAAGTACTCCTTTTCTTTTTGCGAATACAGGCTGCGAATACACGGCTGCTACTCTGAAACCTGTATTATCTGAACATCCAAGAAACACTAATAAACTTATTCTCGCCACACTCCTATGAGGGGTTTTCCATGGGTCCCATAACACAGTTTGAACACAAACTGATCTGGTCTACACAGGTACAACTAAACCATGTTACACCATAGTTAGGACACAACCATGTTATTACTCCACTGAGCCACACACCCAGTACATTAACCACGCAGCCATCTATCATCTCTGTGGTAACTGGGGGCTCTAGCACAGTGGTGATTTTAGAGTAGACAAGGCCTTATGGCTAGAAAAGAGGAATAAAAAGAAAAGCAGCTACCAGAAGAGTGAGAGAACTTAACTATTAAACGTAATAAGGGCACCTCTTTTAACTTACACCTTTTCCTGGTCCTTGGCATACACGTTACACCAATTTAGATCTCCCTGTTTCCTTAAGAGGATGTGAGGGAATCGTACAGTGTTACAGAATCTAACTTACATTGCAGTATTAAAGCCATTTCAGTTCATGCTACAATTTAGAAGCAGTCTGTCTCCCCCACTCACATCCCTCTGTAAAAATAAAGGGACATCAAATACAACACTAAGATTGAGGAATCAAACCCTTATAAGCAGGAAATTCCAAAACCAAAGGTTTCTAGAGTAATGTTAACTTTGCTGCACTGCATATCCTGTACATGTTATGATATAGATCAAACAGAGTAATGCACTAAGGTAACAAGGAAAACAGGAATAGAAAATGCTACATATGTGCAATCTGGCAGAGTTAATGTTAATGTAGAAACTTAAACTTTTGATAATTGCTGACACTTGAAGACTTGATTTCTCAACCTTAACAATACATTATTGCTAGTTTTTGTATCATGTAGATTTTGTAAATAAATACCTAGCTTTGAAGAAAAGCCTCAGCAAGGAAATAATAGTTTAGGAGGTAAGGTTTCAGAATAGCAGCTGTGCTAGTTTGTATTTGCAAAAAGAAAAGGAGTACTTGTGGCACCTTAGAGACTAACCAATTTATTTGACCATAAGCTTTCGTGAGCTACAGTGAATGCATCTGATGAAGTGAGCTGTAGCTCACGAAAGCTTATGCTCAAATAAATTGGTTAGTCTCTAAGGTGCCACAAGTACTCCTTTTCTTTTTGTTTGAAGGTAAAAGTACCTTAAGGCCAGATGTTCAAAGGTATTTAGGTATCTAAAGGTGCAGCTAGGTGCCTAGTGGAATTTCAAAAGCACCTTGGTGCCTAACTCCCACATAATTTTATACTGTGCATTTCATTTTATATGCTAACATTACTCAGTCCAACCCTTTCTCCTCTGATTATTTTAGCAACCCTTGGACTTCATTATGTTCTCTATCCTGTCCACATGAAAATAAATTCCCACCCAGAAGATGACTAGCTTTTTCCTGTGTTATGGCTAAAATCAGGTAAAGTCAATCCAGGAATTTTAATCTGGCCACATTATTAGGAAAATGAGTTTTCTCACATCACACAATTACAATGCTAATGTACTGAGGGTCAGAGGTAATACCAGAGCACCACGTGTAGTGGAGCAGCAGGTATACATTCAAGAGTGAAATTCCAATAGTAGTATGCTATATAATCTCTCGATAAATATTTATGCTTGTGAAAGTTAAGAGACTCAGAGCACTATAAACTAAAGTCTTTCAGATAGGCAAATGCAATTTAAGCCTCCTCACAGAGACCCACCAATGACCTCTATCCCAGGCTAGAGGTAGTACGATCCCTAGAGACAAAAAGTCATAGTGAATCACTGGCCTCTGCTGAGCAGTCAAACAGCACATAACACACAATAATAAAACCCAACTACATACCTCACGATCTGTTTTGATCTGTAATGTTATTTGAAATTGCTTAAGACTCCTCCCTCAATGTCATTTCATTCACAAACCTCAACCCACCATCCTACACATTCAGCACAGGAAAGATGGCAAAAGCAGCTAGAAGAAGCCTGGCCTAGTAGTTAAAGCATGGTACTTTAAGTTAGGTTGTGTGGGTCCTGTTTTTTTCTTGAGGGAATAGGAATGGGTTAGGAATAACCCAATACTAGGGAGAGGAGACCAAGTCAGCAAGATACATGCCTAATTTTAACCCAAACATCAAACCAAATATTCCCACCAAATTTGAGATATTGAAATGAAACAGAGTAATTAAAGACTTGTGTTTTTTACTGAACTAATAGGACAGAGATTCAGCCCTTCCAGTGCGAACTGTCCAGGATCCGTGCACTGTTGATTTCATTTACTTATTTCCCAATGCTAAACATTTGCTCTAAAACTCTGTCTTGCTGTTGCTCCCCTAAAAAGCATAATATATTTCTATGCCATGCCATCCATCATGCTTGGTAGCTGTTTTCAATACCTGTTATCGTCTTTGGAACAAGAACATTATCAGCAAGTTTATGGCTTTGCTAATACCATATTGAGGAGTGTTTATTTTAACTGGCAGTTTACATCTTAAAGCATGGCTTTATGACAACAAGATACATTTCATCTGAGGAACTCATTAATAATACTTTAATCCACAGGAGCCTTAGCTTTTATTTTGATTTGCTTGACACTGGCAGATTTCTTTTCTTGACTTGTCCTCTCTGAACTTGCCGAGCACGAGTTCCGAATCCCAAGGATTGCAGTGATTCCGCTAAGTACTTCTGGCAGGGGGAGATGCACAGCATCACCAGCAATTTAGCGTTGCCCCCTAAAAACAGTAAACACACACACACACACAAACACACTTATTTTCAATAAGTTTTTAAATACTGACCTGCTGAACTGCACAGAAGCCAGAGTAGGCTGCTATCAATTCTATGAATCAGAGCACTATACAAACAGAGCTGTTGAAAGCATATTGGCACTATAGTAAAGCCATATGGGACTGTCTCATTTAGCTAGCTGATCATTTGCTGTTATTTTTCACCATTTGTAATATAGAACTTTCTGCCCCTTTCACTAACAAGTCTACGAATACATTTTGGGTATCAGTGCTCTGTTGTAGTTGTAATATCAGCATATCTAAAAGCTGAAGAGATCACTTGTATCTAAGTACTGCAAAAAAAGGAAGCTTTAACTGTCAAGAGCTCATGGTGGAAGTTTAAGGACATTCCCAAAATTATGCATGGGAATAACTGACATGACTGGTTGTGTCACAGGATGGAAACTGTAGCTCAGAGTTTAGGTAACATGTCCAAAGTCCTACAACATGTCAGTATTACAACTTGCATTTTAACCCAGATCGCCTGACTCACCGGCCCATGCAAATCCCTTCACCACTCACTGTCTCACTTTCCAGAATTTGAAAACAGGCAAATTTTATCCCTCTCAAAAAAAAAAAAAAAAAAAAAAAAAGTTACTGCAGATATATTGCTAAGCTTCAATATTTTGCCTTCAATATTTTCCCAAGGTTGTAATGCAGGAAGAGGTGAATTTAGAATTCTGTGGCAAAAAATCCTCTTGGAAAATCTGTGCTCGTTATTCTAGTCACCACACCTGAGATTCAATCGGGCAGCTCAAGAGCTAAAAGCATAAATTGGAACAGCTTGAGCTGAATCTCACTATCTAGGGGCCGTAAGAGAATCATATGCTCCGTGGATAGGACACAGAACGGGACCTGTAACACACACTCACCAGTGGCTTACACTGATTTTTTCTATCACTACCGTACACATGGATGAAATGTTAGAGTAGAGCAGCCCATCCGAATACCAAAAGAAGCTGCAACGCTTAAGTGGATGCTGAAGTGTCTCCATTTATTGTTTTGGTATTGTGCATTCTGGGCAACAAGAACAGCCATGAAATCTGCAAATTTCTGACACACATTGTATCAACTAAACCCTGGAAGAGTTAAACTTAACTTTTACAACTTACTTGATATTAAACCTTAAATTAATGAATTAAACTTCACGACATCTTATGGAGGTAGGTCACCGTTATCAGTGTAAGCAGTGTCAGGATGAGCTCCACCCTGACATCTGGTGGTGAGGTGTGGCAAATTGTGGAAAAGAACTTCCGGGGCCGATCTCATTTGCATAGGCACACCCACCCCGCCTAGAATGAGGCCATAGCTGCCCAAATGGTCACTTTGGCTGCTGTGGGATCCCCAGTGTCTCTGTTATTGGGGCAGGAAGAATAAATTGTTATTACCCTGATTATGGGAACTGTGCTTGGAACTGTACTTGGCCTTTTGTTATGATGGAGGGACTCACCATCAACTAAGTAGCACTCGCTAGGCAAGGGTCATGGGTTTTAAAACTCTGTGAGTGGAGAGAGGCTGGGGACAAGTATTAATACTTGGTGGCAGGGGCCCCTTGGTGACGGCCTTACATGCTAATTGCACTTCCTCCTCTCTCCACTGTGGAATATCAGAGCTAATTTTGATTCCATTAGGAGTCTAGTTACAGGCTGCTGAGCTCACTTTGGGCTAATGGTGCACCAGCACTGAGGCTCTCCTACTGCAAGCTGAATTCACCAAAGAGCTGAACTGACTAAGAGCTGAAATCACTGAGTGTTGTGTTAAGTACTGGGGGAGCCTGAAGATATATTGTGGAGCAGTTTGTGGGACGGTTGGAATGCCTTGTGGACACGCTGGTGGAGCAGTTCGTGGGACGGCGGGAGCTGCTTGTGGGACGCGGAGCAGAGCTGAGCGAAGGAGTTTGTGGGGCGGCTGGCAGAGCGGAGTGAAGCGAAGGCCTATGGAGCTGTGGGGCGGTCAGCTTCAGATCATGTAAGGTGCCTCTTACCCCTGTCCCATCTCTACCCAGGTTGGGAGGTAAAGCTCCGCAGATGAACTTTCGAACTCTGGGGCTGCCCTGACCAGGGACAGAGACTTTTGGGTCATTGGACTTTTGGGACTTTGGGTGATTTGGGGTTGCTGGACTCAAGAACCAAAGGGAAAGGGGCATGCCCCAATTTGCTTGGGGTGGGTTTTTTGCTCATGGGTTGTGTTATGAATCCTGTTGGTGGTGTTTCCCCAACATAATGCCACATTGTTTCTCTCTGTTATTAAAAGGCTTTTTGCTACACCCAGACTACGTGCTTGCAAGAGGGGAAGTATTGCCTCTTGGAGGCGCCCAGCGGGGGTGGTATATATTTGTCCCAGGTCACTGGGTGGGGGCTCGAGCTGGTTTGCATTGTGTTATTGGAATGGATCCCCTAGATACTGAACCCGGCCCTTGTTGCTGCCAACTCTGACGGGCAGAAGGGTTACATCAGTTACCAATTTACCAATGAGAAAACCAAGACTCAGGAAAGTTAAATGCCTTAAGCAAATCAGTGAGATGAGACTCCAGAACAGAACCCCAGAGTTCTGATTCCTTGTGCTATAGCCTCCCACACAACATTGCTCCACACCATACCCTTACAACCTTTGTTCTACCACGCTACACAACATCAATGGGAAAAGATCAACACACACACACAAAACAACAAAAATTAATTACTTTCCTAACAAAATGTGAAAAAAAGTTTGGAAGAAGAAATGTAACTCAATATTGTTACATAAAAGGCAAAAGAAATAATCACCTATGGAGTCCTGTAGTAGGTGGGTAAGTTTGCTGTTTCTATACGGAATGTGAGAGCGCTGCTCTGCTATTGCTCCAAGTACATCTGACAGAGCAGATAAGCTACGGTTAATGAACGAGGTCTCTCTCAGGGCTACTCCCGTCACTCCAGACATACCTAATGCAATACAAGGAAACAACAGTCAGAATAATCAAAGCTTCCTTGTCACCTTCAGGCATGTGCTAAGCTCGATGTACAAAAGCTCTATGCCTTGTATATCACTTGGACCTGAAGTGTAACTTTTTTGTTTTAATAACACATTTAAAGACAAGTGATAAACATGTTTTACTATCTCTCTTAGGTACTTACACGGCCCCCACTATTGTCGTATCTGAGCACCTCATAATCTTTGATGTATTTAACTAAACTGTCTTTTGCAAAAAATATCCAATATCCATGTTCACATATATATATTGTGACAGGGTCAGGCCAGACGGCTACCGGAGAGTGATAGAAGGCAGATATATTAGCCCCAGGTTAGGTAGGTCCCCTTTCCCTGGGTAAGGTAAGAGGGAAGGTTCCAGAACAATCAGGAACCTTCTGGAGACAATTAAGACTGACAGGGTGATTAGAACACCTACAGCCAATCAAGAAGCTGCTAGAATCAATTAAGGCAGGCTAATCAGGGCACCTGGGTTTAAAAAGGAGCTCACTTCAGCTTGTGATGTGTGTGAGAGGAGCTGGGAACAAGAGGCACTAGGAGCTGAGAGTGAGAACGCATACTGTTGGAGGACTGAGGAGTACAAGCATCATCAGACACCAGAAGGGAGGTTCTATGGTGAGGATAAAGAAGGTGTTGGGAGGAGGCCATGGGGAAGTAGCCCAGGGAGTTGTAGCTGTTGCACAGCTATTCCAGGAGGCACTCTAAACAGCTGCATACCACAGGACCCTGAGCTGGAACCTGGAGTAGAGGGCGGGCCCGGGTGCCCCCTAAACCTCCCAACTTCTGGTCAGACACAGGAGGAGTTGACCTGGACTGTGGGTTCATGAAAATGGCCAAACTGAGGGCAGCTGTGAAGGTCCAAGGCGAGCAAATCCGCCAATAAGCGCAAGACCCACCAAGGTAGAGGAGGAACTTTGTCACGCTATATATATATTAAAAAGTCAGAATACATTATACTGTATATTTTTTCCTGACTTCACTCGCTCACATAAAATGTGAAAATACAAGTGAAAGCCACTCTTCCTGTTATGAATACCACATATCCCAAATACAGGAAGAAAAAGTACTGCTAATACCATTGACAGAATTATTATTAAGTCAAATCAATATAAATGGGGAAAAATACATTAATATATGAAGAAGTTACATAGTTTTAGCCATACAGGATTTGTTAGCGAGAATATTGCCTTATAAAGCACATTTTGCCTTGAAAAATTCAAAAATATTTTATTAATTTAAATAGATAAACAAACCACACACAGGACTCACATCACCCTCCACTGAAAGGCAGCCACCTCTGAGGTGAAATCCAGCAGCTGTTTAAGAATGCACAGTAGCACCGCATTGTTCAATAACACATAGCAATACTCTATTTTTATGAAAAGTACTACAGAATCTTGGATGATCACAGGTGGTCTGAGACCTTGCTTTTATTTCTCATCTATACTTCTCCAGTTGTACAATATCCTCTGTATCCACACTTGTCAGTACCAGGGCACTGAATCAAGTGCTAATTCAGAGAGAAGATTGGAAGACAATTCAGCAGGACAGTATCCCTTAAGTCATTGGGTATTGGTTCACAGTGATTCAGAAGGAAAAGTGCTATCTCTTATCATTTCCTGCAGTAGGTAGCTGTCCAATGAACATTTCTCATGGGAGAACTGAACTGGCATTAAACTGATAGGATCACAGCTCAAGATGGTATAGCAACAAGCAAAAAGACTGTATACTGGACATGAAGGTAGCTATTAATGTGCTTCTACAAGTATTTACAGTATGATCTTAGATAGTAGTTTTGCATAAGGGGCGAGGGTGTCCTTTTATCTCTAGCCCAATGTAAGAGTTGGAGCATAGTTGCACTGCCTCAATAGTAACCCAGGAAAGGTTGCCTCTAAAGCCTGGTCTACACACAAAGTTGCACCAGTTTAACTAAATCAATGTAACATCACAGCTTAGTTTAACCTGTTACTGTTGTGTGTAAACAAGTCCTAGGAGGGAGAATTCCTTCCCTACTCTTCCCTTGCTCCCCGTGGGTAATAATCTGCTACCAGCACTTACCAATAGCAGATTAGTACCCTCCCCAACCTTTTCCATGCCTGCAGCTGAGATATGGGGAAGTCATATAGTGACATTGGGGATGGGGGAGAAGAGGATCTTATTCCCCTTATGCCTTTGTGCGTAGGCCAAGCCCAAGATCTGACTCAAAACGTTTACCTATGTTTTTACAGCAAAGGCCACTCCAGACAGATTTATAAGGAAATTTGACAAGAGTTTGCTAAGAACTAACAATCTGGCTCATAGACAACAATGTGAAAACAAACTACAATCACTCTAGATGTCCCTTAGGAGACTTATCAAGCTAAGGAGAAAAGGTGCATGTCTGCATCAGACTCATGTACAATAAACACTTTAAAAACTATTTCTCACTTAAACTTGTCCCAAACCTCAACTTTCAAAAGATAATGTGCTAAAATCTGCTCTGAATTATACCTGTGTAAATCCAGAGTAATTTTGCTGTCTTCAGATTTTCACCAGCATAGTTAAGAATAGAATCTAGCCCACTGCATACTTTGGGCCAGATCCGCAGCTGGTGCAAATCAGCATTGTTCCATTAACTTCGGTGCTGAAGTACATCATTTTACACCTGTTGAGGATCTGGTGTGTTGACTACACAGAGCAGCAAATGCTTGCCCTTGTCAAACTGAGGGAACAGACACATATAGTATTATCAATTACATGTTCACCAAAAGGTTTCTAACACCCCAGCAAATTAAAAAAATATATATATTCCATTATGTTTTTTATAGAATGAAAGTTAACAGTCACCAGCAGAAAGAACTCTTGGCAGTAACCTAAAGAATTCTTTCATAACACTGATTCAGTTTTCAAAACATTATTTCTGGAATGGTACATTTAGTGGTGTGGCTTTTCTTGGTAAGAAAGCTTGTCCTTTAGGAAATAATCAAGTTTTTTAAATTATTATGTGCATGGAGGAGGAGGAAAGTGCTTTGAAGAAACAATGAAAACAATATTATCTTTTCAATACACCAACTTCCTTCCAGATTTTTTCCACAAGCAGAAAGAAAAACCCACACACAGCGGTATGCTCATGACAAAGATTTAGTATATTTAAATAATTTATGCACTTTGATCATTTCTATAAAAAAATAAGAACATGCTAATTTTTATACATATTTTTGGACTGTAAAAAACACAGCTTTTAAAAACAGTCTGAACAAATAGTGCATGCACACCCTGCATGTCACCATGGGCCTGACTGTCCACTGAGTTGCTTCAGCTTGATGCCACCTGATCTTAATGAAGCCCCAGTGACATTAACACAGTGGTGAATTAGGCCCAATAACTTCATTTAAGTTTGGATGCATGTGTCTAAATCATCTCTTATGAAGAAACACAAATACTCAGTTAATAAGTTAAATGCAATTATTATCTCCATGGGATGGAAGGTTCTATGCTCTCAATTCAAAATAGTCTTGTCATAAAAAGGTCTGCGTACCAACACATTCACTGCCCGCCAAATCCACCAGCTGTAGTTTAGTTTTGATGTGCTTCAGTTTCTCAACAGATTCAAATTGTGCTGGAGAAGAGGCTCTGGAAGGAAAGATGAGTTTATCATCTTTCATTTGTTGAGGAAAGGTGCAGAAAAGCTCTTTACTTAGCTTTTGACTAGGCTGTTCATCTGTCCATAGAGGAGCTGGATGATGGAAACAAACAAATGAGGAAAGTTTATTTTTAACATCACAAAATGGGAAGCAAAAAAATGCAACAGTGATGGGTTAACCCAGTATCTTCTTTTCTCCATCTCTGCCTAATGAGCCACAAGCTACTTTAACAGTACCCCTACTTGTTCAGGTAGGTCACCTATTAATTATTATTATTTGTATTATCATAGTGCCTAGCAGCCCTAGTCAAAAGAGTCCTATTGTGTCAGATGCTGTATAAACACAGAAAAAAAGATACTCCCTGCCCCAAAGAGGTTAGTAGTCCTGGCCTTGGTTCTGCAGCCACAGTGGAAGAACCCAGACCTTGCAAGTCATCCTGCTCCTTAGCTGTAGCATTCTGGGACCTGATCTGTGTTTGGGGGACAGACAGATTCTTTGGTACAGGTCCTTCAGTGCTAGCTTCACTTCTGACATCTTGGCTAAGTGAGCATCTCTCCCACAGGCAGTAGGTATCTGTACAAAAGTCTTTTCACTGGGCAGTTTAGCTTTGCCTTTCTTCTCCAGTGTCTTGCTTTATTCTTTCCTCTCCTTCTAGTCTGGAGTGGAGTAGCAACCTACTCATGACAGCATATGTCAGACAGAGCAGCTGTGTTGGCTTACATAGAAAAGAATGCTTCAGATGAGAAAGCATGAAAGTAAAATTTCTCTCTCATCCTTACTATAGGGCAAGGAACCAAAACAACCCTCTCCACACACACACAACAGAAGTTATTGACACAAAATCCTAAAGCTCTGGCTTTAAGTCCCATTTCCAAAGCTTAACTACCACTCCTAAGCTTTCTGATTTTATCTACTACTTATTTCTTCAGTGCCTATCATTTGGCAATTTGTCACACCTAGGTCTTAAGCAAGGTGTGTCTCTTATTACAGAGGCAGACAACACTGTCACAATTCCACTTTGAGGTTCCATTTTGTAGTGCTTCTTTACCTACCGTAATGCTCATTCAGCTATCATAACTCTTATTCTGTGATCCTGAAACTTGAGAGTCCTCCATCCATCCAACATATGGCAGAAATTCCTATTTGGCCTTGCTGTGAGGCTTAAAGAAGGGTAGTGCAGTAATTGGCATAGCATATCAGCTAATGAATGACTGAAAGAAGCCTGGACTAAACAAGATGGCTGGTGAGTTAAAATGGCTGCATTTTGTAATGTCTGCCTGATTGACAAAGATCTGGAGCTGGATAGATCTAACATCTGGACTGGTAGAGCTGCAGCATCCTAAGTAGCTGTGTCTCTTGGCAGGGGCTGCAGGTAAACGAGGGCACCGTTTGTTCTGTTTTGCTAATATCCTCTGTTTAATTTCCGATAGAGATCTGGAGAAAAAAGTTTTAAATATTTTCCACTTCCTAAAACCATATTGTTGTTGCAGGGTATGAAGGAGACAGACCACATGCTACAAATGGAGAGTCTAATTACAACATGAGCAAAAGGAAGAAAAGGAAACAAAGTTAACCCCACAAGTTCCAAAACTGCTCCTAATGCAACAGACTGGCAAACCTATATGTGACACTGAAAAGCAAGAAGGGACAACTACAATATAAGAATACAGGTTTTGCCATACTTGATAAGATCATTGGTTTGTTTGCTCTGGCAGGGACCAACTGAAAACCTCCTTAACACACCTAGCTAGTTGTGTAATGTAGCATGTAAAGAGAAAATCCTTTCTGTCCCAGTAGTGATCATCACATGCCCTGAAGCATACACTTTGTTTTAATCCTGATTTTAGCATATATAACTAAATAATAATTCCTTGTAAAATTATCCAGCTACACTATTTGATTCTGTTAGCTAGTAAGAGAAAATTGTACTAATAATACACCATTGACTGTTTCACACTGCATGCCCATAAGTACGACAGCAGTGTGTAAAAATCATCACACAATGTTAGAAGTGTTAAGAAAACATCTCAAACACAGCAACATTAAGAGGTGTTCAGTCAATGCAGCCAAAAAGGTTAAATAGAAAAGAACAGGGGGTTTAAAGATTGTAGCAAGAGACAGTCAGAAGAGAGAAAAGAGCAAAAAGAAAATCCCTCAACCCAGATACTGCATTTCTGACACAAATGGCTCTAGATATATTTTAGCACTATCCTACTTACCAAAGCTGTCTGCAGAGACAGCCTTCGTGGTTATGGTCAATGTCACTACCAGATGAGAGCGAGAGGAATGAGCATGCACCAGTGTTGGATGTTTGACCCTTAGCTGCAGACCTTTATCAACTAGCTGTAAGAATTCTAGAGCATTTTCAACAGTCCTGGCAAAACAAAATAGTGGTAGTTGATAGTAAAGGTGACATTAAAAATGTGGCAACTTGAACATGAATCTGATAATTTCCTCTTATGCCCCTCCCAGTTCCCAATCCTGTCTCCAAAATGCTCCCTTTGTTTCCTTTGCTACCTCTTAACTCCACAAGTTGCTGCCCTGCAGAATCTTTCAACTAGGGAATGTTCCATTTTAGCCCAAGATGAAGCTGTGCCTCATACTGAATATGCTGGCACGATGCACAGTTAACCCATGGAACTCATTGCCAGGGGACATTGTGAAGGCCAAAAGTATAAAACTGGGTTCAAAAAAAGAATTAGATAAGTTCAGGGAGGATCAGTCCATCAATAGCTATTAGTCAAGATGGTCAGGGATATAACCCCATGCACTACGTGTCCCTAAGCCTCTGACTGCCAGGAGCTGTTCACTCAAAATCTGCCCTGTTCTGTTCATTCTTTTCTGTAGCATCTGGTACCAGCCACGGTTGGAAGGCAGGACAGAGGGCTAGATGGACTATTGATCTGACCCAGTATGGCCATTCTTATGCTCTTAAGTAGCCTGGACACCTTATATCTAAAGTATACAGCCCCCACCAACATAGCACCTGAGCACCTCACAATATTTAATGCATGTGTGCTTACAACACCCCTGAGAGATAGGGAAATATTATCATCCCCATTTTACAGATAGGGAACTGAGACACAGAGAGGCGAAGTGACTTGCCCAGTCACACAGGAAGTCTGGGTCAGAGCAGGGAATTGCAGCTAATTCTTGGGAAAAGTTCAGTACTGTTGTTCACTGAACATGTCTCCTAGCTCAGGTATCCTCTTAACAGAAGTAAAAAGTCTAGGGATCACTAAGATTGACATGAAGAATGGAGACATGGATTTGAGAAACTCAGAAGGAGGATTCACCAGAGTGGGGGACACAAATGAGTTTCCATGTGGGCAATTTTTTAACTGGTGGTAGGTTTGCCAACTTGATTGACATGTGGAACCTGAAAAGAAGGAATAGAAAAAGATTTTCTCTAAGAGGAGTTTAAGTAAATGAACTATATCATATTGTAGATATGACACTTGCACATGGACAGGTTTTCAGGGACCAGTTGCTACGTAACGAAGCCATGTGATAGTTAGGCTGAAAATTCAGCCCTGGATATTGTCTAATACCAACTTACACATTCAAGAAGGAAGAACATGAGGTTTGCCTGATTCAGTTGGATGTACATGTTAACAGGAAAACTTCCACTGTATTCTATTTAATGTATGGAGAAGCCAATGAGACCCAGTGGGCCAGTATATTTTAGATGAAATGTTATCACAAATGAGGATGTGTTTTTATTCAAAATGCCATGTGTTTACTTAGATTTCTGACAGCAGGGGTGGCCTTCCTCAACGGTTTCCTTGAGTTGTTTGGATTTGTTTTTCATTGTTAACCTTTTTTTGCATAATTATTAATATAGTCTGTTTACGAATTTGACTTTTTTGATGCTTTTATTGTAATCAAGATATAAATACTGAATACTTATTGATTGATTTAGATAAACATTTTCCAAAGGTGCTTATTCAAACCTCTAAGCACCTTTGCCATGTATTGGAAATTAAAGAAATAAATATAGCAGTCACCCCAAGAACAAAGGAAACCCATTCCAGCCACAGTTTCCAACCCTCATGGCACAAATCCCAGCCTGCAGTGCACCTTCCCCTCCCCAAAAGCCGGGGAAAAGAGATTGGTCAACAACTAGCCAGACAGAACTCCCTAGATCAAGTAGGCATAATGGCTATTTTTCAAGCATAAATTAAAGCAAGATTTTTGAGTCATTGGGACCCACAGTCAGAAGGTACCTGGACAGTACAGTGAATTAGAGGCAGATAGATGGGCAATGGCAGAGGGTGCAACTGATAGTCCAATGTGCTGGGATGAGCTGTGTGGGCTGCCTCACTCGGGAGGAGGAAGTCTAAGAACTCAGAAGTGAGGAAGAAAGAGCCCATACAGTACTGGACTGGGAGCAAGAGTGTTTCCAGAGTGCTCCTAAAAGCATAGATGAATCTGAGCCCCAATTAGCCTTAATCCACTCCCTGCTTCTCTTTGCAGGAGTATAGAGTGCAGCTGAGGGTGCATTAATATGGGTGGAAATCAAATTTAACCCAAAGACTTTTGTATTCAGTGATCTGAAATTGAATTTTACTAGAATGAACCCTAAAAGTTTTGTGTTTAGCTGTAAATAAGTAAAAAGAAAAATAATAATTCCTAGATTACTATAGTGACTGTAATTCCATGGAGAGGAAAATTATAAATCCTAGATTCTGGAAAAAGCAATTTTACAGTTTCTATGTGGGTTCCAATTTTGTATGAACAGTTCAATGGACAGAAAACATGTCAGTAGATACAAATAACTGCAGAGAAAGAATGATGTCTTTTCAACCCTCTCTCCAGAATACTGGCTGTATTTTATCAAGGTTTTCTGGCAATAATATAAAACCACATAAACAAATATCAAGTGGTTGCTTATGTTACTAAAACCCACAAGATAAAAATACTGCTGTCAATTATTTCCACTGAGAGTGCAGTTTGTTTTAATCCATGAAGGAAAAAGATACTTCTTGCTCTGACTTCCGATTCCCACTGAAGTAGCATAGAACAGCCTTTGACAGGCATTATGATTACAGATGTGTGAAAAAAATCATGTTTCCACCAGCAACAGAACATTTTATAGTTTTGTCCTGAATTGTTCAGTATGCGGGACAGTTTTCAGAGAAGAAAATTAGTGTTTGCTCTCACAAACCTCTTATTGTTCTTGTCCTCAAAAAGACAACTACAGAATGATTTGCCCAAAGAACTTTTTCCTCAGTGTGTCACACTAGGTCCTTTGGGAATCCTCTAACACAGCGGTTCTCAAACTGTGAGTCATGACCCCATTTTAATGGTGTTTAATGCCAGGGCTGGCATTAGACTTGCTAGGACCTGAGGCCGAAGCTGAAGCCCGAGCCTCATTGCCTGGGGCTGCAGCCAAAGCCTGAGGGCTTCAGCCCGCGGTGACGGGGCTCAGGTTACAGGCCTCTCGCCTAGGGCTGAATCCCTTTGGTTTTGGCCCCCCACGCCTAGGGCGGCAGAGCTTGGGCAGGCTCAGGCCCCACTCCTGAGGTTGTGTAGTAATTTTTGTTGTCAGAAGGGGGTTGTGGTGCAATTAAGTTTGAGAACCCCTGCTTCTAACATTTTGTTGGGGTAGGAATGAAATGGCCAACACCTTCCTTCTACCTGCTATTGTCATCTTGCAGGTGCCACCACTGCAGCCTGTCCCCTCTAACTCTCCCCTATTTTTAATTGTGCTGTTTCAGCAGTCTGTGCAATAAGTTTGTTTAAGACAGGATAGTGGTCTTCACTTGTTAGGACATGATTTTTATCATCTACATTGTGTAGATAGGAGCCTTATGAAAAAAAAAGAAGGAAATATTATACATTGGCTGTGTGTACTGGGCATGTATATATAGTGGGCCTGATTCTCATTTACATCACTCTGGTAGTGTAGCTGCAGATTATGCCCACTTTAAAGCCCTCCTGCACAGTCAGAACAGCTGTAAAGGAGACTCAAACCCACTATAAATATATGCTATAGAAAAAGGTTTATCTAAAAATATAAAGAACAGAAACTAGAAAGGATGGCTTAACAATCTACACCTTTGGTTTGAATGATATAGCCTCTCTGGGACCACAGGTTTAAATTCCAGCAGCGTCAACACTGCCTTAATCTTTCTAATGAGATAAGCAGAGTGCTAAAATATGTACTATGGGTAGGTATTTTGGGTGACCACATATAAAATGAAATCCTCTCTCTTCTGTGTGGATATTGAGGACTTATGACAGGGGTGCCAACCTGAACCTGAGAAGGAGCCAGAATTTACCAATGTACATTGCCAAAGAGCCACAGTAATACGTCAGCAGCTCCCCCCCAGCTCCCAGCACCTCCCACCTACCAGCAGTCCCACCGATCAGCACTTCCCCTTCCTCCCAATCAGCTGTTTTGTAGCATGCAGGAGGCTCTGGGTGGGAGGGGGAGGAGCGTGTGGGTGGGAGGGCACGGCAGACTCAGGGGAGGGTGCGGGAAGGGGTGCAGAGCCAGGGGTTGAACAGTGAGCACCCCCTGGCACATTGGAAAGTTGGCACCTGTAGCTCCAGCCCCGGAGTCGCTGTACTCCCTGTACAAGGAGCCGCATATTAACTTCTGAAGAGCTGCATGACTTTTATGACATTTTTCTTAAGAGTAGGGTTTGCTCTGGTGTATTTGAACGTAATTCCCTTCCTTGCCCTTATGGAAAAGTCTCACAGACTTTAACAGGAATTAAACCAACAGGGTTCTATAGAAGTTACTCCAAAATCCCACAGAATTTAATACAGAGTGCTATTCTTTCTATAAGTTTTTTCAATTATCCTATTTCATAAAATTCTAAACAATGGTCTAAAAAATCTACAAAAAGGTTATCATTTTCTATAAAGTTCTATCGGACTTTTTCACGGTGTTCCCATTTTTCGCAATGTGCTAAGAACTGCTTTGCCACTTGACTGCTATCCCTGCCTTACAGCTGACTGCATTTCAAACCTGCTGTACGTAGGGTACATACAATTGTTATAACACATCTTGGGAGGGAAGGTGGTATATAAATATAAAACAATATTTAACTGTTTTATTATTATTACTGCAGAATATTCAAATTGACACTGGACGCCAAGTGTGATCTAATTAACTGAATTCTTAGTGAAATATTAACAGTAAATGGAATCATCCAGTGCTTTTTTATGTTCTAGGGGAAGGAATGTATGCTTTGAAATACTCATCAGTGCCCACGATTATGTCTCCATGCCTTGTAGCTGACACATATTGTAACAACACGGTATCATGATCTTGCAATAATGGTTTACTTATTGTGCTGTGTACTCACTCATAGGTAAGTAATGGCACATCGCTCTTGCCTTCCTTGGTTGTGACAACGTCACGTTTAACACCGAATACTCTTCCACAGCTGTCTTTGGCCAGAAGATCAAAAATTTCATTATTATACACTTCTACAACAGAAACCTCAACCCAATGACTTCCTGGTGGCTTTTCTGAAATAAGCCTGAAAAGAATTACAGAAAAGAAAATGAAACACAGCTAAACTGGCTGAAATCAAATCCTAAGTAAACTATCCTTAAGAAACAGTTGCATCTCAGAACTAATTATAGTCTGATGAAAGTACTTATCAAACATCCAAAACCATGAGAGTATGTTGCCTTCCACGTTAATGTAAAGGTGAAGAACAAGAGTGCATACACTTAAATTATAGAGTAAATATGTCACAGAGAGAAAATTACCTTATTTTGGCTGCATATACTATCGGTTCCTGGACTGTGGGCCTGATTCGAATGTCTTGTTACTATTGTGACCCCAATAACTCCTGGGATATGCCAAAGGATTTAAAACTCCAATTCCTAAGACCTAAAGAGCAGCATGTGTGTGTGAAGTATAGGGTTGTGAAAGCCCACTATTGTTGAGAGGATGGGGAAAAATGCACAAGACATTGGGGCTAAAATAAACCCAGAGAATTTATAAATTAAGCCCTTGTCTACACAGGACAATTTTCCCAGTTAAACACTCTAATATGAAAGTGGCCTTTTTTTGATGTAGTTTAGTTTAAACCCCTTCCCAAGCAACATAAGCTAAGCCAAGAAAAAAACACTCATGTATGAGAATATGAGTGTCCACACAGGGAATTATATCAGTATAACTATATTGGGTTTAATTCACCCCGTAGGTTATACTGAAGTAAGTTATCCCATATAGATAAGGCCTAAGTAGAAAAATATATATCCATGACCAAATGTTTTTCAAGTTCCAGAAGAAAACCTCACTCTCCTCCCTTATTTTAATGACTCCAATATGCAAACCAATAACTTATCCTCGTAAAATGTTAGAGGAGGTTTAAGAGTGTAGAATTAATATTTAGACTCAAACTTAACTATGGATTTGCTACCAAAGCCACTATAATTAACTATCATCTTGAAAAGTTAAATCTGAATAGCAAGAATATCATGTGCTGAAGAACAGCTCTGTGTAAGATCAAAAGCTTGTCTTTTTTACCAACCGAAGTTGGCCCAATAAAAGATATTATCTCACCCATCTTGTCTCTCTAATATCCTGGGACAAACACAGCTACAACAATACTGCAAACATTTTTTCACCTTTGCATACAACTGTAATGTAAAAACTGGCACTCAAACTTTATTCTCATTCCCATGGTCAGCAATACCTGAACACTTCTTCTGTGGCTCTTGGAATAATTCCTAGCTCTGGTTCATCTTCTGTTGAAAGAGTGACATCATCCTCAGACTGTGGTCCCAACATTGTGTATGTCTTCCCACTCCCTGTTTGCCCATAAGCCATAATACACACATTGTATCTGAAAATCGAAAGGGCATTATTTTCTTATGCCATTTTTTTAACAAATGCATTTGGTATTTAAATGGTTAAACCAAAAAGTATTTGGAAAAATATGACTGCTTACTTTAAAATATAATATAATAATAATAATACATATTTCCATGTGGCCTTTTTGTAGATCTCAAAACTTTTTGCTAACCTAACTTAAGTAACCCTCACAACATCCCTGAGGTGGATTTTTTTTTTAAACAGATGGGAAAACTAAGCCATAAAAGAAACATAATTAATGTATGGTATACATACAAATTTGCAACAAAATAACAAAGGTGTAAATTAATACTAAATGCAATTCTGTTTGTGGACCTTTATTTCAGAATAAAAGTGGCTAAAATTGATTTAGTTAGAATAGTCCATTTGTTACATGCCTTGCCTAATGCCACTTTTTTTTTTCTTCAAAACAAGAGTGCCCACATACAGATTTGGACTGAAATAACAAAACTGATTTTAATTCCCACCTTTTGTATTTCAACGCACATTTATGTGTAGACCAGCCCTAAGTGAGTAGGCCATAGAATCATAGCACTGGAAGGGACCTCAATTGGTCATCTAGTCCGGTCCCCTGCACCCAAGGCGGGACTAAGTAATAACTAGGTAAAAAGAAAAGGAGTACTTGTGGCACCTTAGAGACTAACAAATTTATCTGAGCATAAGTTTTTGTGAGCTACAGCTCACTTAATAACTAGGTTGTAACTTAGTATTACCTTGTCAACAGAGCAAGTCAGTGGAAGAGCCAGGAATGGAAAGCCAGGGGTCCCAACTCCTAATGCTTCACTTCAGCCCACAGATAAAAGATAAGGAGCTTACTACCAGCTGCCTTGCACCATGGGTAGTCATTTAATATCCTCACAAAGTGAGTGCAAAATGGCAGTTAACACGCTTCGTTAGTTTTAGTTTTGTTAGTAGTAAAAGCTAGGGCCTTGTCTCACTGCTAATAAAGGTGTGTTTTTCCTCAGAGTAACTAACGTTCATGAGCTATCCAGAGGTGAAAACACAATGGAGACAAGGTACTTGGTTTTACCGGGAGGTAAACTAGGTAACATGAACCACAGGCTGGGTATTGTGCTGACCTTGCCCAATTTACCTCATAGTAAAACTAAAGTGCCTTGTCTCCACTGTGCCTGGGGATAGCTCATTAGTTGCATAGAGATAAAAACAGTGAAGACAAGGCCTAGGTCTGATAGGCAGAGTGTGAGGAAGCTTGTATTCCAACTAGGTGATAACTGAATCGTGAAGAGGATTAAAAAACATAGCTCTGTTAACCTGACATCTTTGTCTTGTATTAAACATGCTATTTCAGGCATGTGCCGGCAACAGAAAAGATGTGCTTTGGTGAGCTCCACTGACTCAGCTGTTATTTTTTAAAATTTGTTTATCTTTTCAGATCACAAAACTTGACATACTGATACTGACAGACACTGTAGAGAGCTATGTTCTCAGCTTACAAGTGACCTTGCTGTACCTAACAAAGTTTTTTAGAGTGGGGTTGGGAGGGTGAACACTGATAATAGTGCAGCTGACATGGGTAGGGAGCAGATCCTCAGCAGCAGTAAACAGTCATAGATCTGAGTCAATGGAACTATGACAGTTTACCCTGCTGAGGATCAGCCGCAGATGGGGAGCAAGTCTGCAAGATCGGAAAACAGTAATATCTAGAAATCTGGACTTTAGACTTGATGGGCTAAAGGACTCAGACTACAATGGAAAACAAGGTAGAGAACATAACAAAAGTGGAAGGACTGGAAACTCAGGCTGCAAATCTTGAGGATGGGATTTCAAAAAACATTCATCGTTGGCCTAACTCTGTCTCTGAAGTCAATGGCAAAACTCCCACTAATTTGAGACAGGCCAATATGTTTTTGAAAATTCCACCCTGCACTGTCCGATCAAGACATAGGTTCTACAGGCCTGGTGACTGAACACAGAGTCTTAAAAATAAAATGGACATGCTTGGAAACAAAATTAGAGTCTTCAGTTTGTAGTTAACTGGGTTTCCTCAGGAAACAGAGGATGGAAGTCTGAAAGGTTTTGTTTGTTTGTTTGGTTTGGTTTTTTGAAGTATGGATATATAAAAGTTGCTAATTCCACATATTCCTGCTACCTCAGCTTCCCTCTTAGTCACTAGCCATTTACCCTTAAGAATTTCAGCATCATTGACTAATGTCAGAACAATTCTAATACTTGTACAGATAATGGGATTAAATATAAGAGTTTGAAGACAAGCAGACTTGCATAACTTTGAGTATCAAGGATCTTGATTTGGGGTATAATTCAGTTATATGCCCTCTCTGCTAAAGCCAAAAAGAGCTTCACTGAGGTTTTTGCGACTAGTCACGGTGGTATTAAATCCAGAAATGCTAGATCTAGAACAAATTGTTGGTGTCTCAACAGAAGAACTAGAAGCAACTGACAGAATTAACACAGACTGAGTTTTATCTAGTTTACTTTGCTTATTTTTTGGTTATACCAGAGTGGCTATAAATGAACTATGATACCATTTTTATCCCCAAATTACTAATCTGCTAAAAATGTTGCTAAATCCTTATTTCTGTGCTTGAAGTTTTTCGCCCACATTTACTCACAAATCCGCACAGACACACCCCTGGAACCCCGACCTGGGGTATTTTATCTGCTACCCAAGATCCATAAACCTGGAAATCCTGGACACCCCATCATCTCAGGCATTGGCACCCTGACAGCAGGATTGTCTGGCTACGTAGACTCCCTCCTCAGGCCCTACGCTACCAGCACTCCCAGCTATCTCCGAGACACCACTGACTTCCTGAGGAAACTACAATCCATCGGTGATCTTCCTGAAAACACCATCCTGGCCATTATGGATGTAGAAGCCCTCCACACCAACATTCCACACAAAGATGGACTACAAGCCGTCAGGAACAGTATACCGGATAATGTCACGGCAAATCTGGTGGCTGAACTTTGTGACTTTGTCCTCACCCATAACTATTTCACATTTGGGGACAATGTATGCCTTCAAATCAGCGGCACTGCTATGGGTACCCGCATTGCCCCACAGTATGCCAACATTTTTATGGCTGACTTAGAACAACGCTTCCTCAGCTCTCATCTCCTAATGTCCCTACTCTACTTGTGCTATATTGATGACATCTTCATCATCTGGACTCATGGAAAAGAAGCCCTTGAGGAATTCCACCATGATTTCAACAATTTCCATCCCACCATCAACCTCAGCCTGGACCAGTCCACACAAGAGATCCACTTCCTGGACACTATGGTGCTAATAAGCGATGGTCACATAAACACCACGCTGTATCAGAAACCTACTGACTGCTATTCCTACCTACATGCCTCCAGCTTTCATCCAGATCACACCACACCAGATCACACCATTGTCTACAGCCAAGCTCTACGATACAACCGCATTTGCTCCAACCCCTCAGAAAGAGACAAACACCTACAAGATCTCTATCAAGCATTCTTAAAACTACAGTACCCACCTGCTGAAGTGAAGAAACAGATTGACAGAGCCAGAAGAGTACCCAGAAGTCACCTACTACAGGACAGGCCCAACAAAGAAAATAACAGAACGCCACTAGCTGTCACCTTCAGCCCCTAACTAAACCTCTCCAACGCATCATCAAGGATCTACAACCTATCCTGAAGGACAACCCAGCCCTCTCACAGATCTTGGGAGACAGGCCAGTCCTTGCTTACAGACAGCCCCCCAACCGGAAGCAAATACTCACCAGCAACCACACACCACACAACAGAACCACTAACCCAGGAACCTATCCTTGCAACAAAGCCCGTTGCCAACTGTGTCCACATATCTATTCAGGGGACACCATCATAGGGCCTAATCACATCAGCCACACTATCGGAGGCTCGTTCACCTGCACATCTACCAATGTGATATGTGCCAGCAGTGCCCCGCTGCCATGTACATTGGTCAAACTGGACAGTCTCTGCATAAAAGAATAAATGGACACAAATCAGATGTCAAGAATTATAACATTCAAAAACCAGTTGGAGAACACTTCAATCTCTTTGGTCACTCGATTACAGACCTAAAAGTTGCAATTCTTCAACAAAAAAACTTCAAAAACAGACTCCAACGAGAGACTACTGAATTGGAATTAATTTGCAAACTGGATACAATTAACTTAGGCTTGAATAGAGACTGGGAGTGGATGGGTCATTACACAAGGTAAAACTATTTCCCCATGTTTATTTAATTCCCCCCCCCCCCCAGTTCCTCAGACGTTCTTGTCAACTGCTGGAAATGGCCCACCTTGATTATCACTACAAAAGGCTTTTTCCCCCCCGCTGTCCCGCTGGTAATAGCTCACCTTAAGTGATCACTCTCCTTACAGTGTGTATGGTAACACCCATTGTTTCATGTTCTCTATGTATATAAATCTCCCCACTGTATTTTCCACTGAATGCATCCGATGAAGTGAACTGTAGCTCATGAAAGCTTATGCTCAAATAAATTTGTTAGTCTCTAAGGTGCCACAAGTACTCCTTTTCTTTTTGCGAATACAGACTAACACGGCTGCTACTCTAAAACCATTTACTCACATAGTTATATTGTTCTTAAAAAGACTTTACTATTAAACTAAAATACCAATTATTAAGCTTAATAGCACTCAGCATCCAAAAAACCTCAAATGCTCACTCTGAGCTAGGACCGGAGGGGAACACAATCAAGGAAATCAAAGTAAGAGGAATTTCCTTTTTCTTTAAAAAATGAGCATAATTTACTCTTAAATCTTGTGAGAGAAGGTGATGTTATTTTAATCCCCTGCTGAGCTTGTATTGAGCACTCTAAACTTTGAAGTCTGTTTTTTTTTTCTGTTTTGTAAAGGAACAATCTTTTCTTCCTGTATGCTTAAACTGAAAAATAATACAATGTAATTTAAAAAATATGTTTAAACCCCACCACAAACTCCATTTTTTGTAAGTGGATATTTTGGAGCTCAGACTAGAAGCAGCCAGAAGGAGCAGATAACTTCAAGGATCAAAATAATTCTGTCTGTTTCACATTTATAATAGGAAGGCTGTTCAGAAACATGACTGATACAGGCAGCCTTTCCTTTTCTGATAGTCTGCTTCTGTTTAAATGGTGCATGCTGAAAGAAAGACAGACCTTTAAGTTTTCAATAACAGAACATTTCCTAAATGAATATGAAGCTCCTGGGTTTCAGGAGAGAGACTTTAGACAGGAGCATACTAAAAGGTGGATGCTCCTCTCAATATACATATGTAACCTGCATTGGGGTTAATTGGAAGTAATGCACATAGGTAGATAAGTAGGTAGGGACCTAAGGCACAATCCTGAGCTGAGACAAGCTCATGCTCTCTGCGGCTGGAAGGGTGGGGAGGGACAACAGTAACTCTAAGCTATCTCTAGGTCTTCCCCCGATCATGTGGTGTTCCTAGGTGAAAGTTATGGTTACTTTACCTCATAGTGGCTAGAACAATCCCTTACGGGCCATTTGGATCAGCAGAAATAATCACATTCAAGCTCTGTCCCCTCAGGCACTCTCTCTTGTCACCATCTGGACCTTCCATTCCCCCGGCACTGAGAGTGTGAGGGGGGCCCAAGAACTCCCACACACTTGGGGAATCCTCAGCAGCCTCTTCAGAGCAGCCTTAAGGGCACTTTGAGCTGCTAGGGCAGTTTAAGGGGCAGGGTACTTGGAGCCTTGGTCTGTGGAATGCCATGCTCAAGGGATAAGCATGCATTTCCTAAGGGTTGTCACTATTCAAAAAAAAAAAAAAAAAAAAAAAGGTTCCATGCACAGGTGCTGACCTTTACTTTTCCTCAGGGTGCTCCACCACCACTCCGCCCCAAGGCCCCGACCCTTCCCCCAAGGCCCCACCTTCGCTCTGCCTCTTCTCACCCCCGCTCTGCACCTCTCCCGAGACTCAACCCTCCCTCCACCCCTTTCCCCCAAAGCCCTGCCTTTGCTCCACTTCTTCCTGCCCCATCTCCACCTGCTCCCCGAGGCCCCCGCTTGCCCGCCACTCGCTGATCTCCACCCTCCCCCAAACCCCTCCCCAAGCCACTAAACAGCTGTTTGGCAGCGCCACCTATCAGCTGTTTTGGTGGCACTGCCCAACAGCTGTGGCTGGTGGGTGCTGAGCACCCACTATTTTTTTTCCATGAGTGCTCCACCCCCAGAGCACACATGGAGTCGGTGCCTATGATTCCATGGTCATGTGGCTAGCCACATGACTCATATGACATCGTGGAGACAATGTCACAAAAGAAATCTGAATCAGATGTACAAAGAACATCCACAATTGAGTTGGATTAGGCAAGGAAGAAGAGAAAGAAAAAGAGAGGAAAGGAACTAATTAATGGATTTCTGTTTCAGTCCCACTGTTTACCGTTACAACCACTTCAAGGCCCCTTTTCCAGAGTACTGTTAATTAGCCTTAGTGGTTTTACTGCTCAGAAGTAATTAAAAATGTATATCAGTATTTATTTCTGGTAGTGTAATTTCCAAAACTGTTTTTAACTCCAGGGCCTCTATTTGATGCTGTCTCAACATCTACGACTGAGGATCATTAATTCTTAAGATGCTATTGAAGAAAGGTAGGTCACACTGCCTATTATTTTAAAAAATGTTTCAAAATTTAGCATTGCATAAATTTGTATCATGCAGAAAAAATAAAAACAAATGTACAATTAACTTAAAAAAGAAATTACACTTGTTTGAATTTGTTTTACCTCTGTTATAAGTAACACCTATATTTACTATAACTGAAAGAGGCCAGAGAAAAATGTTACCTCTTTTTTTTTTCAAATTTGTCCACGGTGTCTGATAAAATTTTCTAAATAGTCACTTCCATTATTTCCTGTCTGAGTGGGAGAATACCCTAATACTGAGTGACTGTCAGATTACAACATTGAAAATGTGATTGTAAACCCATAAAAACTGGCAAGAGAACTTGGGAAATAATTCAAAGTCATTTTTGAAAAACGGAATGGATTTCAAGTTGGTAGTGTCACTTTGCATTGTTTCCACCTACTTTTCAACTTACCCATCCAGCAGAGATGTAAGCAAAGGGGCCACATCTGCAAACACTGCATCTTGAGACTCAGCAGCACTGTAAACTCTGAGGGGGAGGGAAAAGGAATGATTCATTGAACAAAAATGATCACTGTATTTCCAGTGTAATAACACAGACCAGAAAAATACACATCAGTTGCTGTGTGCCACTAACGCACAACTCAGGGTTTGCTGATGTGTTTCTATGACAACAATTACAGATTGTGTTTCAGAATACTTATTTACCTTTGAGACCGAAAGATCAGTAGAGGGAAACTACGCACTGCTGTTCGGAAACTGCCTTTCCGAGCCAGGAAATGAAGAGGCAAGGAAAAAGAACTGAGCTACTACTTTGTTCAGGTAGCTGAGGCGGAGAATTTGGAGAGCACCTACAGATTACGTACAGAAGTCTCAGCTGCCTTTGATATACACTAGAAGAGAGATGCACACACTAAATGTCTTGGAGCAGGAGAGATGAAAGATCTAAAAAAGTAGTTTGCTTATTCAGCGTGGTCCAGTGGTTAGAATAGGGGACTGGAAATCAGAATTCCTAGGTTCTACTTCTGTCTTTTGGAGGGGCTGTGGTCTTTATTACAATGTAATTGGGGGGGGGGCGGGAATTCCTTGGGGATATGAATTCCTTGCACCCACATAGCTGCTTCAGGGAGACAGGAAGACTGGGAACAGAGTACCTAAAAGGAATTAATCCCGCCCAATCACCAGGCTCCTGAAGGGCCCCAGCATTCTCCTTGGACCACTCCTGTCTCCCAGCTGTATTGACCCACACTTAGTTTTCTCCCAATTGTCACTTGGCTGCTGGCGACCCTGATTCCTATGTTATGACATTAAGGAAGCATAGTACTCCCTTCTGTGATTCCCTAGGGCACCAGCTGTTCTCCCGGGGAATGGGGTTACTCAGCATGTGCTCCCCCTCATAGTGTCATAGAGTTTACGGCCAGAAGTGGGCCACTTTAGGTCAGCTAATCTGACTTCATGTATAGCATAGGCCACCAACAACACCAAGCACCCACACACTAAAGCCAACAACCAAAATGACACCAAAGTATTACAGCCCACAGGGGAATACTAGACTATTATGTGCCACAGGAAGAGAATAAAAGGGACCGAGATGCACCAGCGGTTGAGGGCCCCACAATGGCAGGAAATGGTTAAGTAAGATATACCCAGATAATCCTGGCTAGTGACCCGCACCCATATGTTGCAGAGGAAGGCCAAAACCCCCAAAGTCACTGCCAAGCTGATCTAGGGAAAAATTCCTTCCCAACTCCACATATGGCAATCAGATAGACTCTGAGCATATGAGCAAGTACCAGCCAGCTATGCACTTGAAGAGAGAAAACGCTCCATGTTCCATCTCCAGCCATGGCCATCTCTGATGCTTCAGAGGAAGGAGATCAAAGAGCCTCCCAGAATACCCTTCCTGACCCCTGCGGCTGGCTGGCTGAAACCCTGAAGCATGCGTTTAAGGAGGCATGGCACATATGTGAAGGGTTTCACAGCTGCAGAGTCAGCACCACCAACATTTCACCTTTTCATTATTAAGTATCTATTGATATAGCTCCTTGCACCACAGCATCTTATCATCTCGCAAACATCATTGTATTTATCCTCATAACACCCGTGTGAGGCAGGGAAGTGCTAACAACTCCATTTTCCAGTTGGGGAACTGAGGCACAGAGAGATAATGTGATTTGCTCAAGCAGAGGTGATGTGTAGCGGGGGCATGTGGGATCAAGTGCCCTTCCCCAGACTGGCCTGCCAGAATCAGGGAGGGAGAGGGGCTCTGTCCTTCTCTCCCTGCACCTCACATACCCCCAGCACATTTGGCTACTCTCCCTGGCAGCCGGGAGGGGAGCGGGATGGAGCTGCTTGCTTTTGCTTGAGAGAGCCTGGCTGGGAGGCAGCGGCGGCCTGCTTACTGCCCAGGGTTGGCTGCAGGCGAGAGGGACCGAGCAAGCCAGAAACATGCTGGAGGGGAGAGGGGGCTTTGGCTTGCTCGGCCACTGTCCCTGGCAGCTGGGGCAGCAGCAGACCGCCCCCAGCCTGGGCCCTGCTGTCAGGGACAGGTGCCAAATGACCGGAGCCCCCCTTCCCCCTCAGCATACTTGGCCCCTGTCCCCGGCAGCCGAGCCTGGGCAGGTAACATGGGGTGGGGAGACCATGGTGGTCCCGGGCTGGGTGCAGGGTGGGGGGTTTACTGGGGAGAGAAGACATGTGAGGTGGTCATATGTCCTCTCCTTTAGATTGTGCCTCCCCCTTCTCCTCCAGTATGGAGAGGCACAAGTCGCCTATGTGCCCAAGCTCACACAGGAAGACTGTGGAAGAGCAGGGAATGAAGCCAATATTCCTAAGTTTCAGTTCAGTGCCTCAACCACAAGACCACCCTTCTGATAAGCATTTTTCACTGCACAGAAACAAATGTTTTTCTTTTACGTTTAGAGTTGTGTGTTGCTTTTAAAAATAAGTTTTTGTGGAATGTAATAATTACATTGAATTAGTTCTTCCACTCCTTAGCAAGTAGCAATGATAACATAACTCTTGGACAGAAATGATGATAATACCTTAACCAACTGTACACACTTTTCAAACTCAAGTAAAGACCCCAGCTAGTTTATATAGGTTACTTCTTAATCTACCCCTACCACCTACAGCTTCAAAAACAAAGTACTAAATGCTCAGAATCCACACCTGAAAATAACAGATCAGAACCTCCTCCATTTCTCACTTTTCTCTTAGCATCATGACTAAGTAACTCCCTAGAGATTACAACTTGAAACAAGTACAGTCTTGTTTATACAAGATGTACAAAGACAATATGAAAATCATTATCCACACTTAAGAATTTGACATATAAATGTAGGTAGATGTCTCTTTGAACAAACTTTATTTTCTGATGCCTCCCTACTTTTCCTTCCCTTCCTGCTCAACCTTATTCTGCAATGAATGATGTATCTTTTCAAGATGTTTTGACCCATTTGCTGATTAGAAGCAGGAATTTGGGTAACAGCAAACAACATAAAATAGTCAATTTGCATGTGATCAAATATTCTGCTGTTTGTATATGCTACATTAAAAATGTAAATTAATGAATGTCACATTCTGCTCTTTACCATTTACCTATAAGGTTCTTCAGGTGTCTATTTGACCAAGATCCCGCCACTCTGATTCATTAAATGTACAAACACAGACTAAAGTGTTTGTGTACACTGCAGATACACCTGTGTCTGGGGACCCCGTGACACAGGAACATAAAAACCGCCATGCTCAGTGAGACCCAAGTTCCATCTAGCCAAGTATCCAGCACCAGATATTTCCAAGAAAGGTGCAAGAAATACTGCAGTAGGCAGATGTGGGATAATATGTCTTCCATGAAGGTCTCATCGTAACCCTTAACAGTCAGAGATTGGTTTAGCCCCTGAAATACAAGGGTTTATAAATATCCTTTCCAAATTGTTCGTTAGCATTAACTATTATAACTCTTGCTGTTCTTGCTACCCATAAAAACATCCAGTCTTCCTTTGAATCTCGAATTCTTGACCCAGATGGCATCCTGTGGCAATGAGTTCTACAGTCTAATTACATGTATGAAAAAGTATTTCCTGTTTAATAAGCAAATAGGCACTTGTCAAGCTTGATGGACAAATTCTGATTGTCTTGCTATTCCATTGACATGCTTTCAAAAAACAGAGACACCTACAAATATGCAGATATGGTAAAGCACTTATATTGAGAAAACAGTTACCGAATAACAAAACTACCTCCTGGTTATGTATGCATGCACATGCATACATTGCTGCATACTTTTCACGTCAGATCTTCAAGGTCAATCTGGTTGAACAAAAACATCCCCGAACTGTTTTTTCTCTGCTTCATTTATCACCCACACCATTTGAAATATTCATTAGCACTAAATCCCCGATCTTAAGGCAACGAGGCTCCATCTCAATTTGTCTTGAACTGATTTGATATTTCTCCCTAAAACATGTCAAAGCATCTCTCAGGAGATCCTCTGAGGACTGTTACGAAGGATTAACTGGGAAGGTGTTTATATGGGATGTGAATACTCAAATTGCCCTACATTGGTGCTGATGATATATAAAGCAGATAGAACAGAACTTAACTGACTCTTTGGTCAAGGCTAGAAACAGACTTGTTTTAATTAGTTATCTGGGACAATGGAATGTACAGCAAACCCAGGAAATCTGTTTGTACAAAATTACTTATTCTACTCGAAAGATGACAGATTCTTCCCAAAATGGATATTAATGCTAATTTCACCCTGAAAATTATTAGCTTCTTTTTTATTTTGCTAACTGATTCACTGATAAAATTATTAAAAGCATAAAATGCTGAAAGATGGAATTTTCTTCCTGAACTGAAATAAAATATTTTGACATTTATTAGTTCCATAAAAAGTTGCTAAAAAAATAAGCATTTTGAGTTCATAAGAACCATATGTTCTACTGTTTATAAAAATGAGCTGTGCTGGGACACTGAAAAAACATTCCCCCAAAACAGCATTCTTTGGGGGATTTACATTTTTTTAAAATCCTTTTCCTGATTATCTGGGTGGTCACCACATGTCCAGAATCACAGCACCTCCAGAGTGTTTTGTAAAAGTACTACATACACGTTAATATATTGTGGCATATCTTTAACACCAAGACCTGATACTTATATTAAATGCCCAAACACTTCATTAATAGAGTTCAGGTTGCCCAGTGATGCCTTGTGAGCTTCTACAATGTGGAGAGTGGCTAACTCAAACCTCTGAAACCCAGGAAATGAAGAGTTACAGTACATGCCACCCCTGCAACGCAACCTTAACTCTGCCCCCTGAAGTTGGCAATAACCAGGGAGAATGGTTCAGTAAGGTGTGGCGGTGCCATAAGAAGAAGACATGAGGATGTTCTAAGAGAATGTGCCATTATCTGTGTTGTGCACCACAGATTTGAATTCCAGCAGTGATCAGTAGGTTTCCAACTGCTATTCACTGTGTTAGGTGCAGCTGTATTGAATGATGGAGGGAATAGTTGAAGCAGCCTAGCAGAACTATGCCTGTGATATGAGGAGAGTTGCATGTACACTTTGAAGGATCAAGCATACCATATTTCAGGACCAGTTCTGTAGGCTGTGTCAGTAGAGATGGCATAAGGATAGTCAAAAAAAAAAGCATGCATGACAGTGGTCTCCAGGATTTAATAAGGGGTAAATGAAGGCAATGGGTCAGAAGGAATCCTTAGGGCAAGGGTGAAGGGCTGGTAACATTTCGCCAGTCAGAGGTGGTTTGTGTGGAGTAAGTTCAGTGTTCGAGTGCAGGCAAATCCTGTTTGCTACACCTGACCTAAACCCACGTTTCACCTTAGCAAAGAGATGGTGTTAGACTTTGTCCTATAGTGCTCAAGTGCTCTGCTCCCAGAGCGTTCAGCAGCATCTGTAAGGGCAGAGTGCTAATTTGTGTATTATTGGGGTGTTGGGGCATCACTCCAAGAGGGCAGAGATAAGGTTGTGTTGTGTGTGCAGTGAATACCTTAATTTTGTATTTCCTGGGTTTCACAGATTTAAGTTTGCATTACCTTAACTCCTCATTTCAGGGTTTCCAGAGGTTCAAGTTTAGCCATTCTCCACATTCTGGAGGGGCATGAGGCACCACTGCATAACCTTAACTCTGCATTAAGCATGTCATCTTGACCTACGCAACGACTGAGACATCATACTGCCTGGAAACACTCTTGCTTCAACAGAGGCCTAGTTTTGCGGCAGATGTACATTTTACTCTTTTAGGAACATCAATTTGGCACACGCAGACCTGGAGTTCTAAACTATCTTTAAAATCTTTTTCACTATTGCTTCCCTAAAGGGGCAATGAGATAAATCCTACGCAACTGGGATCAATGCAGGGTGCATCAGAGCCATAGTTTGAGCCCCATGTGTGCACAAAATAATGTTACAAGAATAAGGTGATTTTATAAAATGCTGTTTTTTTAGGAGTGCGGGCACTATACCTCAGGAACACCTTACTCAAAAGACCTCAAATTTGGACTACCACCACCACCGCCTAGCACTTCCATGAGAAATGGCAAGTTCCAAGACAATCCAAGTCAGCATGTGGATTTTCTGAGAGCTCGAAACAGTCCACCTTTAAAAAGAAAGTGATGCTTAATCTTAACTATAGCAGAGCTGGGGCTTCACGACAATTCCAAATTGTGGGTAGCAAGGATAGACTAATGGACTGAACACTGGACTAGGATTCAAAACACGCAGGGTTTTTTTTTCCATAGATACTAAGGTCAGAAGGGACCATTATGATCATCTAGTCTGACCTCCTGCACAACGCTGGCCACAGAATCTCACCCACCCACTCCTGCGAAAAACCTCACCTATGCCTGAGCTATTGAAGTCCTCAAATCGTGGTTCAAAGACTTCAAGGAGCAGAGAATCCTCCAGCAAGTGACCCGTGCCGCATGCTATAGAGGAAGGCAAAAAACCTCCAGGGCCTCTTCCAATCTGCCCTGGAGGAAAATTCCTTCCTGACCCCAAATATGGCGATCAGCTAAACCCTGAGCATATGGGCAAGATTCACCAGCCAGATACTACAGAAAATTCTTTCCTGGGTAAGTCACAGATGCTTGGCTCAGTCACAGATGTCCTCTGTGACCTTGGGCAAGTTACTTAATCTATTCTGTGGCTCAGTTCCTCATCTGTAAAATGGGGATTATAGTACTTTCCTATTTCAGAGTGATGATGTGAAGATTAACAATTGCAATGTGCTCAGATACCACTATGATGAGGGTCATATCAGTACCTAAGATAGATATTAAATTTGGAATATTAGCTCTCTTCTTCATTTGGAATTGTAGGATGAAAACACTATCTAATCTAATTTCTGCAGTGCTTTGTGTCATGGGAAGCACCTCATCACCAAATAAATGAGAAAAATGAGCATGTTATACTATCAACTCCTGCTAAGAAATCAATTTTTATATTTACAGAATCTCACAACAATCCAGAAAGCATTTCAAGATCACCCACCTGTCAAACTGAAATGTCTTGTTGATCAAAGTATGACCAGGACGATTGCATTTTACAAGGACAGTTTCCTAACAGAAAAACAAAGTGGTTACAATTAGAACATATAGCATAAGTGAACATACAACAAGAAGCCCCTCTTCTGGCCAAGTTCATCATCAGAAGCAAGCTCCCCACAGACCTGGATCCACCAACAGAAAATGGCACCAGACCCTGCCAAAACAATGATGCAAAACCTGCAAACATATCTCCACTGCTACAATGATCAATACCCCTGACAATACACATTTCAAGACCCATGGGTCCTACGCATGCTTATCACAATGTGTGATAAGACAGGAGACATTCCAGAAGACTGGAAAAGGTCAAATATAGTGCCCATCTATAAAAAGGGAAATAAGGACAACCTGGGGAATTATAGACCAGACAGCTTAACTTCTGTACCTGGAAAGATAATGGAGCAAATAATTAAGCAATCAATTTGCAAACAGCTAGAAGATAATAAGGTGATAAGTAACAGTCAGCATGGATTTGTCAAGAACAAATCATGTCAAACCAACCTGATAACTTTCTATGACAGGGTAACAAGCCTTGTGGATGGGGGGAAGCGGTAGATGCGGGTACATCTTGACTTTAGTAAGGCTTTTGATACTGTCTCGCATGACCTTCTCATAAACAAACTAGGGAAATACAACCTAGATGGAGCTACTATAAGGTGGGTGCATAACTCCTGGAAAATCGTTCCCAGAGAATAGTTATCAGTGATTCATAGTCAAAGCTGGAAGGGCGTAACGAGTGGGGTCCCGCAGGGATCGGTTCTGGATCCGGTTCTGTTCAATATCTTCATCAATGATTTAGATAATGGCATAGAGAGTACACTTATAAAGTTTGCAGATGATACCAAGCTGGGAGGGGTTGAAAGTGCTTTGGAGGATAGGATTAAAATTCAAAATGATCTGGACAAACTGGAGAAATGGTCTGAAGTAAATAGGATGAAATTCAGTAAGAACAAATGCAAAGTACTCCACTTAGGAAGAACAATAAGTTGCACACATATAAAATGGGAAATGACTGCCTAGGAAGGAGTACTGCGGAAAGAGATCTGGGGGTCATAGTGGATCACAAGCTAAATATGAGTCAACAGTGTCACGCTGTTGCAAAAAAAGCAAACATCATTCTGGGATGTATTAGCAGGAGTACTGTAAGCAAGAAACGAGAAGTAATTCTTTCGCTCTACTCCGTGCTGATTAGGCCTCAACTGGAGTATTGTGTCCAGTTCTGGGTGCCACATTTCAGGAAAGATGTAGACAAATTGGAGAAAGTCCAGAGAAGAGGAACAAAAATGGTTAAAGGTTTAGAAAACATGACATATGAGGGAAGATTGAAAACATTGGGTTTGTTTAGTCTGGAGAAGAGAAGATTGAGGGGGGACATGATAATTTTCAAGTACATAAAAGGTTGTTACAAGGAGGAGGGAGAAAAATTGTTCTTCTTAACCTCTGAGGACAAGAAGCAGTGGGCTTAAATTGCAGCAAGAAAGGTTTAGGCTGGACATTAGGAAAAACTTCCTCACTATCAGAGTGGTTAAGCACCAGAATAAATTGCCTAAGGAGGTGGTGGAATCTCCATCATTGGGGATTTTTAAGAGCAGGTTGGACAAACACCTGTCAGGGATGACCTAGATAATACTTAGTCCTGCCTTGAGTGCAGGGGACTGGACTAGATGACCTCTCGAGGTCCCTTCCAGTTCTATGATTCTATGTGATGTACCTCATCCAGTGCGCCAAATGCTCCAACACCTACTATTTGGTGAAACCAGACAATCACTACACTCTTGAATGAACTCACACAGAAAGATGATAAAAAACAAAAACATCGTATCACCCATGGACAACACTCTTCACAAAATGATCATTCCATATCTGACCTCTCAGACTCTGTCCTCAAAGGAAATCTGCACAGCACCTTCAAAAGATGAGTGTAGGAGCTTAAATTCATACCTTTTCTAGACACTAAAAATCATATTTTTAAAGATACTGGATTTATGGCTCATTACAACAATCTGTAACCCCCAACCCCCCTTTTTTGTCCTGTTACTGCAAAGGTGACACTCTGAGTACCTTTCCCAGACCTGAAGAAGAGCTCTGTGTAAGCTCAAAAGCTTGTCTCTCTCACCAACAGAAGTTGGTCCAATAAAAGATAGCACCTCACCCACCTTGTCTCAAGAAATGTCTACTGTGTTTAAAGTTTCAACATACAGCATGAATTTAGGAATTATCATACTAGAAAAGACCACCTGGTCTCAGGCTTTGTTTTCATTAGGAACTTGTGTCGGTACTACGCCACTCAGGGTGTGGAAAATCCACACCCTGAACGATGTAGTTATACCAACCTAACCCCTGGTGTAGACAGTGCTATATTGATGGGAGGACTTCTCCTGTTGACATAGCTACCACCTCACGGGAAGGTAAAGTACCTATGCCAACGAGAGAAGCTCTTGTCGGCATATGCTGTGTTTTCACTGAAGCACTGCAGCAGCGCAACTGCGCCACAGCATTGTAATTGGAGACCTGCCCTTATATCCTGTTTCCAGCATTCACCAATTCTTGATGTGTCCGAGAAAAAGCACAAAATTTCCATAATGCAGCTAATTGCTTAGATAGTAAACTCTTACTTAGATTGTATACTCTCTTGGGCAAGAGCAATCTTTTTGTTCTGTGTTGAAAGTACAGCGCCTTGTACAATGGGGTACTGGTCCACGAGTGGGGTTCCTAGAGACTACCACCATACAAATAATAATAATAAAGAGCAATAATGTTCTTCATGACTGTTGCCAGCGATCAGTTTATATCCAGGGGTTGAGGCAGTCAGAAGATTTTAACTGTTCAAAAACTTACATAGGAAAATGTTTTCAGAACTTTTTTTCCCCCTACAGTTCAACCAGCTCTATCTTAAATAATAAGAATCAATACCTTTTGTAGTTGCCCTCTTAACTATTTTAACTGCAGGTGGTACTCTCATTCATATAGAAGACCATATATGCAAAATGCCACTTCTGGGCCTGATTATTTACTCATATTTTTGTGCCCACAATTGAACTGCAGATGAAATTACATAGAAATATCATGGTAATCCACAGTGGAGAAAAGGGACATAGTAAAATTGCTGGCGTTCAATGAGACTTGAGTAAAATACAATTTCTAAATGTATTATGTAGTAGTTTTTGCAAGTGTCAGTGGCTCTTTAAAGCCTAGGCAGAGTGCAAACACAGCACCTTGGCATAACTCAAATCCTGGAGTGCTTTTCTGCTCTCCTCAAATGTGTTTTTAACTGCAGACAAAAATAAAGTACAATCACAAAGATTTACAGTATTTCCCCCAACAGCTCAAGGGGTGGCACATAAAATATTTTTAATGACAACTCATCCGATGCCAAGGAGTTTCATAGCTACCTCAGATTTTATTATATTTTACTGGAGTGCAGAAGAAAAGTCTACTATGTTTCCAATAACACAGAATCAGAAAACTAACTTGGAGGGGTAACATTAATACCTTTCAAATAACAACTCAAAACAGTGGCTGAGTGTGCTCCCAATACTCTGAATGATGGGCTATATCGTTGAACCAATGTCTCTACATAATAATATGCCCAGCACACAAGTGGCTAATAAATCAGGGAGAACAACACCGCAGATGCCTGAATTTCTTATGTTGAATTTACAAGTCCTGCTTCCTCAAGGAAGACAAGTATTGGTGTACCATTGCTGATTTACCTACACCAAACTCACCCTGTAGATTCAACTAACCTAGGATGGACAATATATTGGGCAAATTTAGAGGAGATATAAACGGTGGTGGAGATATAAATCAGTGGGAGCTGGTGTACCTCACAAATGTAGAGAGAAGAAAGGTGGAGTTACAGAAAAATAAACCAACAAGTTGTGGAGCGAAAGTCAGGGGTGTGAGGTGGGGCAGTGGATTTATGAAAATATTTTCTGATTCAGAAATGGAAATCTATTTTCAGACCAGTTTCCTTCCAAAATAAGTAATGAAAGAGAAAAAAATCCCACTTGTTTAGCATAGGAAGGAAAAATGTGTTTGTGGGCAGAGGTTTTGATAGGGGAATGTATGGTAAGCTTCCTTCTTTAGGGGCTTAGTATGGCTTAAGACAGCTTCCATTACTGCTGGCCAACAGCAGCTCTGCAGGTTTCTCTAGATACACAACTATGGAGGTTACTCCCTATCCAGACGGAGCAATTTCCCTGTTAGTAGTGGCCACGAAATACCTACAGTTGTATTATACAGCCATCCAAGAGTGCTTCCTCTTCTAGTGGCAGTCACAGACTCCTCCCAGTCCAAATGCCATTATGGCAATTAGGCTCATGGAAATGATGTCAGGTTACACCCTAAATAAGGCTAAGATTTTGTCACCGTTATTTTTAGTAAAAGTCACGGACAGGTCACAGGCAACAAACAAAATTCACAAAGACCGTGACTTTTACTAAAAATAACTGTACAAGCCTCGGCAGAGGCGCACAGCCGCAGCCCCCACCATGGGGCAGGGGCGCACGGCCCTGGCGGCAGACCCCACTGCGGGGCTATGTGGGGAGCATAGCCCCAGCTCCAGCTTCAGCTGCTGACAGCTGACACAGTCACGGAGGTCCAGTAAAGTCACGGAATCCGTGACTGTCGTGAGCTCCATGACTAAATCGTAGCCTTAATCATAAATATTCTCAGTCTGCCCTTGACACACCAATGTGAGGAGCTCTGGCTAAGTGAAATTCAGAGAACCAAGGAAAGAAATTTAAATGACTTGTGAGGACCAAAGATGAAGTCTCTGGGTCTGACAGACCCATAACAGAGTTGTCACCTAGGAAGAGAAGGTTCCTATTGGGCTGAAAATTTACATTCACTCAGTACTATTCCCAAAAAACAATAGGAGTCCCTCTGCATCATCTTTGTTATTGGAAGAAAGGCTCTCTCTCACCAACCATCTCCTCTTGAACACCCCAAAAAAGAAGAAGTTTTAAAAGTGATTTAACAGAGAAAAATAGGCACCCAGTTCACTCCCG